CTACCATACGCTGTAAAAGGAATTTCAAAAGCTGTTCCTGCATTGGCAACTGGTGCTGCAACTGCACTTGGAGAAATTGGATTAAATAAAATATTTGGAAAAGGAATTACAATTCCCCCTCAGTTTTTCCCAATGTTACCACCTCTTGTAAGAAAATTTACCAAATCACAAATAAATCAAATTAACAAAGCTTATCAATCAGGTGGGCGATTGGTAATTAAACCAACTCGTAAACAGATAGAAGGAGGATTTCTTGGAACTCTTGCATCTATTGGAATCCCAATGGCAATTAGTTTAGTATCTAAAATGTTTGGTGGTGGACTTCAGGTTGATAGACGTGGATCATCTAATACAGCAAATGTTTACGTTCCACATCCTCCTCCTCCACCCACACATGGTGAAGGTTATCCTTATCACTTTCCACCACCCTTTATCGGTACATGGAACAACCCAATTGGAATGGGAGTTAAAAAAAAAAGTCCAAGTCCAAAGGAAAAGGACTACTACTAGGAAAAAACAGCCCATTCAACTCAATTCCATTAATAGGGGCCATTTTGTAATTAAACCTCTATCCAACTTCGACCTTATGGATTGGGTAAAGAAACTTGGTATTAAACATTTTAGAGGAATTTACAGTAGGGATGGACTACCTCATAAGATAAAAAAAGAATGTGGAATAATCAATCTCGATGATATACAAGGTCCTGGTACACATTGGGTTTGTTATAGAAATATAGACAATGTAGTTGAGTACTTCGATCCATTTGGACTAATAATGCCAAATGAAGCGTTAAAGTATTTTCATACTTCCGGAAAACGAATAGTTTACTCAATGGATGAAATACAAAATCGTAATACTATTCTCTGTGGTTATTGGTGTTTATATTATTTATTTGAGCGACAGCGGGGTAATAGTATTCTAAATGTAATACATAACCCTCATTTTGATAATGACAATAGTGATTTCATACAAGAGTATTTTGGAGGATAAAAATAATATTTATTAAATATTATTTTTTTATTCACTATCCGCCGGTGAATCCTTTAGTTGCTTAACTTTCTCAACTTTTTTATTTAAATCTTTAACACTATCAACTATTTCATCAAAACTACAATAAATATTAATAAGTCGATAAAGTTTCTTCTTTTTATCACTATTTATTTTCAACCAAGAATAGTCCCCATCTCTGATTTTCCCCCACATCTCACATTCACTAGCCATTAGTATTCTAGAAAGATCATCATTTTTCTTTCTAAGAGTCTCAAACTCATTATTTATTTGTGTTCGTACATCTTTCTCAAAATCTTTGAGTGTTTTAACATCCATCTTTTTTTCTATCTCAGAAAAGAATTTGGCTTCCATTT